TTTCGGGTATTTTAAAAAATGTTAAGCTCAAATTGAATCGAAATAACTAAAATTTTAAATGTAAACACATATAGTCGATCCAAGATAAGTTTCGTATGAAAAAAAAAAAAAAAAAATAATCGGCTTCGGTTGCTAAGGTGCAATCCGACAGTCGCTAATGTGCAATCTGTCTACAGCTAAAGTGAAATCTGGAAGATATTAACGTGCAATAAGTCTAACACTAATGTGAATTCAAAGTGCAATTATTTTTTATAAGAAAATATATATTACTAACAATAGATATGTTATAAGGTGCAACGTATTACTATATGAAGTACACACATTAATTTCTGGCACGTTAACATGATTGTGTTTTTTGTAGATGACATTTGTGATAAAGTGCAAGTATTGTTTTATAAAGTGTTATATGTTATTTTATAAAGTGGCTATATCCCCTAAATAAAGTGCACTAACTAATTTATACCTCCCAACTAAATTATGTGTATATTTGTACATCGAATTAACATAAATAAATAGAATAACTTTTTATTTAATATTTTTTACTATATAATTTAGTTGTTATTAAAAAATATTTTTATTTTATTTTAATATCTTATATTATTTTTATTTAATAATTTATTTATTATTTAATATAATATGTGCAAAACAAAAAGTCAAATGCTTTGCATATATGACTCTCTCTATCCACTCAATTTGAGCCGTCACACCTTAAATTTGCATTTATTAGAATCTTAATTAATTGCAATTTAGGTAACTAATTAAAATATACTAAATTATGTGCATTTGATCATAATTGTGCATTTATTGTGTTTTTATTAAATTACAGATTAACCTCACAAAATATGTTGCAATATAATTAAGAATTTAAAAATTGCACATTAGTCCTTTAATCTTCTCTAATTTACAAAATTATGCATCAGCCCTAATTTTTCGAATTGAGTGCTCTCTTGATGTCTAATGTCTGCAATTGGATCGATTTTTTTTGTATTTTCAGGTCTCGTCGGACGGCGCCGACGTCGGTACAGTCGGAAACGACGATAATGCATCCAAGGTCGAGATTCTATCACTAATAGGAGGGCTGGAGAGTTTCAGGCGACGCTAGAAGCCGAGGCGATGGTGACAGAGGTTGACTACGCAGAGCTGGTCGGGCCGCGGTTTGTAAGGAGTTGAAGATGTCGATGGCGACACGGCATCGCGATGAAGCCTCGCTCGTCGCGATTGAGACGTGGCAGGCGGCGGGATGTGGCGGGACTAATGCAGTGTCTCGGGCTCCGGAGAGCGGTGGTGATGCGGCTGAGTGTGTGGCTGTGCGTCATAAGAACGCCGACGTATGGTTGCTGTGCGGCGGTGATGGATGGTGCTCCGGTGGGAAGTCGCAGGTGAGCG